TGTGTTCTTATTTAATATTACCTAATCCTCAATCAAATCCTTCAGCTCTTAACTGTTTTATAGAGAAGGCCTTCATCATCAGTAATTAGCTGGATTCTGATTCCATTTCCTCTCCCCTGTGATAGGGAGTGGACCTTTAATTATAGAGAGACAGAGGGTCATCATAGGATTTTCCAGAATTTATGTAAGTAGAAAGACCAAGCTTTCCAAATGCATTTAGAAGCTGTGTCTGACCATCATTTAAATATCAATAGCATCAGATAGAGAATTCTTTTACTCTTAAGAAAAAATTTGATAAAATTAATAGAACTATTTACGTTTTTGTGACTTGAACTTCACCTGAAATGGTTGTTCTAAACATCAGTTAATTTTTAACACTGTTTAAATATTATGCAACATAGCCGATTCCTTTTTAAAGAAAGAGAACTATGCACCATTGAGCAATAATAATGATTTCTGGTCAGTAGGTAGCTCTGAAGTAAACTATACTTTTCATTTGGTTTATGATACAGGTAGATCACATGATCCAGTCTGGCAATTTTTGTGCTTATGTCCATATTTCCATTCAGAAAAAATTATATAATTTCAATCTACTAGAAAGTGATAAGCAAAAAACAGATATTCCTCTGCAATAGATTACAGTGAGTCACAGGTGCTTCCCTCTGAAGTATTAAGTCTTCCTCTGTGATTTGAAGCAGCAGTAAGCCACAGAGTAATGAGGCTACTTTAAAACTTTAAAAAAGTTCCATTTAACATTAACAACAAGATCAAACTAGAATTATAAGTTGCTAAAGCCACCATTAAAAAAACTTTGAATGTACTCTTATTAACTTTTATACTTTTAAGGCTGCACATGAATATTTTAACAGTATTCTTCAAATCATTTGTTCTTGTATGTTTAAGATGAGATTGAGGCAGGCGTTATTAAGTATTTAATACTTGCACTTATCAGGAATTCAATTCTCTAATGTAGAGAGAGCCTCTTTAGTTACCTGAGTAAATTTCTCTATTTTGTGGGTACAACGTGTACTGTTTTGCTTCCTAAACGTGTTTAAATGGGATCTTTGAATAACATCTGACATAGAAGCCAGAATATTCATAGCCACCTTTAATAAACACATAAATCATCTGGCAGGAGCCTATCTGTTTGGAAATCTCCTCTCAATGTTTTGTGGATAAAACATTGGGATCAGGATGTTCAGGAAGGTAGCTGAGATACCAAACACAGTTTAATATTAACTTGTCTTTCATAGCTAAACACTGTGAAGTTGGGATAAGTAAAGCTAGCGTTTGCTGCCACGCAAATGCTACTTTTCCCTGAAATTATTTGTATTTTGCACAAAAACAGTTGCCCCAGGAACATTCAGATTTTTCTAAACGATGTTAAGTTATCCCAGTTACAGCAGGATGACAACTGATCATGTCAGCTGGCCCTGCTTCCTAGCTGAATGTGCAGTATTTGACTACTTGAAAGAATCACCCTTAGGAGTCAGTGTTCGTATGCTGAATTTATTGTCTAGTCTCCTGAAGCAAGAAGGGGAGGAGGGTGCTGGGAGTGTGCGACCTGCTAAGTCTTTGAAGTAGAGAAGTGTTTTTGAATTGCAACTTTTCAGACATGAAAGGTTTGCTTAGAAGGTCTGAAAAATAATGTATTGCAACTAGAGGTGTTCCAAATGCTGCTGGTATGAGTGAGTGGAGTGAAACCTGCCTTTTTTTTTTCTTTTTTTTTTTTTTTTTTTAGATCTTTGAAAGAATGCCAAATGCCATAAGCTGTGCTTGTGTTACTTGTGACAACCTGCTGAGACAGTTTCAGAGATAAGAGAACATTGTAAAATGAGTTTTGGGGGGGAAAAAGTACCACGTGTTTTACTTAAATGAACATAGTTTTGCAATTCAAATTAGGAATTTGTTCTGTATTCTGGTTGAGATATTTGTGTGTTCTACAACTGTGTATCTGGAGCGATTTCCTTTGGAGTGTCAGTGCACATCTGTACTCATCATGTCCAGGTTGCAGCTTTGACCGAAGACAAGGCCACAGTCATTGCTTGGATCTTTTGTTTTTCCTTCTTTTTGGACAGAAGTTATGCAATTGCCAAATCAGTGCAGGTAGTCTTCAACCTCTCTGGCTGCTATTGGTAATGTTTTCTGCTATGCCTCGTGTATTGGGCCTCCCATAGCCTAGTCAGTAAGCAAACACTTGTCTGTCTCCTGTGATTTGGACTGACTTAACAGATTATAAAATTCTAATAATTCTAATGATTATAAAATTCCCAATCTGGGTATCCAAAGTGGTAATTCAGAAGTGAAAATTTCTGCAAGTTCAGCTGTTTGAGCAAGTTGGTTTCCTGCTAGTCTAACTGCGTTGCAAAAATCCACAGTATTTTAAAACATTGAAAGTAGTCATATCTTCAAAAATACGTTGAATGACAATTATTTTAAATTTAGAATTTAAAGATAATAATCTTTGTAATCCACTCCATCAGTTATCTTTTGCACTGCTACTATGCAAATGTTGATTTAAGGAGTTGCATGAAATCTATGCAGGCAACCAGTATAGCTGTCATAGCCATCACCAAATGAGCACTGATACAGAATCATTTCTGCTGGAGATTAGCTGAGAAATCAAAGAAAACAGCCAATTTTCTACCATACATTTAAGAAATTCTTGTTTAATTTATATGTGCATGTAAATCAAGCTTAGAAGAGTTGAAGAGTTTACATGAAACAGATGAAAGCGTTTTAGATGCTATACACACAATAGACTAATGACAGATTTTGGGGAAAGAGAAATACTTAAATCGATCAAAGAGGTCAGAAGTTTTATTTAGAATCATACATGCATGCCAAAGAGCTGTGTGGCTGAAGAGCTAAAAGGGCTGGGAGGTTTCTCTAATTCTTTTGGACTAATTAATGATTTTTTGATGTGGCTACAAAATGAAAAGCATAATCTCTGACTTATTTTAGAAAGGTCAGGCATGCACTTTTCAGGTTTTTGTTTTGTTTTGTTTGTTTGTTTCTCCCCACAATACTCTCTCCTTTTTTCTGCCCTTAGGATAGCTTCATAAGACAGATAAGCAATATTAAGCATACTAAGTGGTTTAAGATGAAGCCAGAATTGATCTATTATCTATGAGGATATACTTGAACAAAATTTACTTAGCAATATTGGAAAAAAGTAGTTAAAATTGGCTCTGAAATTATTTGGCCTGCACCTGCCATTTCAGTGTCATTTTCTCTGCTCAGTGGTACCCACTACGAAGCCACAAAAACTTCGCTCAGAACTCAAAAGCCACCTCTCATTTGCTCACCTTCCATTTCAGAGTGCCAAACGTTTTTCACCAAGCTTTGAGTGGAAGTGTTTTGGTTTTGATTGTAACAAAGATGCAGACCAAACAACAGCTAAGAAGTTTCAGCTGATATCCAACTAGCAACAATTACAACAAATAAACAAAGGAAGGCAGCCAAACCAACCCAGAGTTGCCTCCCACGCCTTTTACACCTTTGTTTTTGTAGCAGGCTCCACCACAGCGCTGAAGCACCTGGCACATCTGCATAACAAGGCCCTTAGTGAACCTCATGGAATTTCTGGCATCTCCTGCATCTCTCTTGGTGCTCCATCAGAGAATCTGCTGGACCCTCTTGGGGTTACCAGCGTGTGCCCAAACAGGGATCAGTATTTATGTGTGTGTACACTGGGGGAAGAGTGTTGGGCACAGCGATGACTGCACAATTTAGTTTTAGAGACACACCTACACAATTTAGAAATACACCAGCTTCCAAAAGAGCTTATTCACTCATGTCAAAATCCACAAGGTGATGGTGTGGTGACTTTGAGTGCTGGCTCGGGCCAGCGGCAGCCTCCAGGACGGCAGCAGAAGGTGGTGACAAGGCGACACCCATCCCCCTGGACACCACAGTGTGTGCGGTCACTGTTCGCGTTTCTTAACACAGCACACATCTTTCCCTCCCCAAATCTCTACTTGTGCGTTTCCTTTTCGTGCAATACAAGCAGAAATTGCCACAGTGCTTCTGGGCACTCCCAAGCCCACCCGCTCCCACAAAATCCTCTCAGAAGCAGCGCCCCCAGCCCGGGGCCGCAGCGGCCTCCACAGCCGCGCCCGCCCCTCGCTCCCCCCTCAGGGCGCCGCCAGCCCCGGGGCCTCCACCGGGCCCGGGCCGTGGCCGATCGCGTCTCGGGGCCAACCCCGCGGCACAGCGCGGAAACGGAAGGGGCCAGGCCAGGGCCGGCTGTCAGCGGAGGCCGCCGGGAGCGGGGGTGGGGTCGGTTTGAACCGTTGGCCGCCGGCCTGGCCCCGCTCCGGGGCACCGGGAGCCGCCGACCCCGGCGCGGCCCTTCCCGTGCGGTGCCACCCCGGGCGCCCGCTGCCCCACAGGGCAGGGCCCGGGCGCTGCGGGGTTAAAGAGCGAGGTAAAAGGGGTGATGGGACCGGGGTGCCGGTTGGGGTCGGTGGGGTGACAGCAGGCAAGGGGGGAGCAGCAGCCTTGGCTGTCCCTCTGAGTTTGTCACCGCGGGAGGTGCCGCTGAGGGGGGGCAGCCGCTGCAGGTCCCCTCAGGGAAGCCCCACAGGCGGCAGCGCCGCGCGGTGAAACCGCAGGGAGGCACCCGCAGGAGGAGGAGAAATAAAGAAATAGCGGCTCTCACCCTGCGGGGATGGTGCTGGAGTCCCGGGCTGGCTGCAGGGTGGGGTGGGCTGGGCTGTGGGGCTGGGCCCGGCCCTCCCAAATCCCGGTGCTGCTCAGGAGCCGCAAGGCGCAGCGAACCCTGCCTGACCCCACCGGGAACTCTGTGGCCAGAGAGCTTGGATAAAAAGATCCTTTTTGACTGTCTTTTTCTTTTAACGGGATATTTAACATTCTGCCGATGTACGTTAGTTGTGCCACTTCTAAGTCTGCTTAGTGCTTTTCCTCCTGTTTCTTTTTCCTTTTAATAACGAAGTTTACAAGTTTGCTAATTACAAGGAAGATAAACTCGGATGAACGTAGCCATTACACAAATTAACGTAGGTGCTGTTTTTAACAAATTGTGCCTACCGAATACCTTTTGGTGTGGCTGACTATTTTGAAAACTAGACAACATGTGTTCTTGTAGAAAGTTTAATTGAACGTTATTTGTAATGCGAACCACAGTTATTTTTGCGTGAATCTAATGAAAAAGTTTCCTTTTCTCCTGGCCCAATACGAATAGAGACCACTCTATAGTGGTATTCAATCTCATCAATATGAATAATTTTGCAGGTTGCTTTGCGTTCCTGCAAAATGAATGGTGAAGAGGAAACGTGGGAAAAACTAGATGCAGAGTTTGATCACTGCGTTGTGGATATGAAGCCTCATGTTCTAAAGCTACAGCATAGGTCAGGTAAATATCGCAAAACGCGTATGTAGAGAAACGTCAATGACAAAACTCCAGGTAATTGTTATGTGTAATGCTTGATGTTACAAGGTATTGTAAGTTGAGCACCCCCTGCCCTCTCCCCCCCCCAAAAAAAAAAAGTTTTTAGGTTGCTGTTGCTATTATTTTTTGGACTTACGTATATTATATTTTTGGCTGTAAATGTGATTTTGCATAAATATATTGGTTTCTCCATTTTTAAAAATGAGTAGAAACTAAAAGCTTTTAAAAGGCATTAATTCTGAGATTGTGTTTACCAAATGGAAAATATTTTTTAGAAGTTTTTGATTTGGTTAGAAACTTGTAGTGATATAGGCGTCATTCATAAATAACGTCTTATAAAGCTAGTGATTAGAAACAAATTTATTATTATTAAATACATGCAATCTACAAGCTGAGGCTTTGGTTTGTGAATACTTAATCATATAAGTAATTTCATCATCTGGCAGAAATGTTTGTGTATAGAATTTTAGAATGAATGAAGACTCAATGTGTTCATAAAATATTATTTCTCATACAAGCTGTATGTTGTAGTTACATACACCACCTTGCAGTGAGTAACAGTCCTCAGTTCCTGATGGTATGAAGGAGTTCAGAAATCTTTGTCATTTGTGGGCTTTGTAATCATTAGAGATTTAATCTGGACGTGCTGCTTCTAAAAGTCATGTAAGCTTCTAGTAAATTTGAATCTATAGAAAATATTTCTGAATGGGAGAGATCTGAGCTATTGTTAAAGACTTATTTTAAGTCTAGGTACTTTGGTTCAGTCATTTGGGATTTTTGTTGGTTTAGCTTTAAACTTTTGGGTAGAAGGTAAGCATCTACAAAAAATGGTGACCGAGAAATAGCTTTTGTTATATCTTCATGTTCAATTTTCTTTGATATATAGCAATTCTCTCTATATATATATGTTTATTATATTTTTTAAAATTTATTTTAGAACGACAAAGATGTGCACTGTGGATTAAAAAACTATGCGAACCCTCAGGAGCAGGTACAGGAGTAGCAGGAAGGAAGAATCGGAACTTATATGCAAAACTTCTGCTCCACATGCTGAAACGGGGTTTGCTAGAAGGTCCTTTTACACACAAACCAGAACCAGGAATACTGAAAACTTTACCTTCATACATGGTGAGCGTAACTTTTTATCAGTTAAATTTGCTTAATCGTATTCTGAAAATACTTTAAAGTCTCTGATTTGGCATAAATGTGAAAAAACTTGAATGAATTGAGTGGATTTGTGTGTTGAATGCATTTATGTCGTACATCTTGTAACTAGTGTTGGAAATATCTTTGTATGCAAAAACCTTTTATGAGAGACCTATTTTTTCAAAATTCAGGTTCTAAGGGGGCTTATAAAAAATAGGTGTCCTGAAGAAACAAGAAGATGATTTCTGTCTAATTTTTTCAAAGGATGTAATAAAAAAAATCAAAACTCTTCAGGCTGTGTTTTGTCTTAAACAGCAGATATCCTTGCGAGAGGAAGTGTGACTAGTGTGACTTAAGCAGTCTTCCATTCTGCCTTTTGCTGTGAACTCCAGCCATTAAAACTTTATGAAAGGAAAGATAACAGTATTTCTCATAGACATTGTAAAGCGTGTAGTTTTCTGAAGAGCTGAATATAGTGTGGCAAATATCAACTTTACTGAGAAAGTGCAGGACCTTTCCTAACTCATGTTACCCATACTGAAAGAAATAAAGTACAGGAAAACGCACCATTTTGCTTGTTGTACTAATCTTCATGTGTAGGGAGGGTTATATTTGCAACCTCCTTGACTTTACTCGGAAAATAATTCATATAACGCAGATACTCCTGCAAGAAATTATATTAGTAGTGTAAAGAATGTGTTTGCGTAAATATAGCATTGATTTTGTATGTATTTTTAACTACAGTCAATTTATTTTGATGAACCAACTTCACCAAGAGTTCGGAGTAGTAGCCCAGAGTGCTTACCTGACTGGGTAATGGGAGAACTAGGAAACAGTGAATCCAGACGTGAGGAATTGTCGAAAATATCTTCTAAAGAAGAATTATCTCTAGCAACATCACTTACATATGGGTAAGATTTCTTCATTTGCTTTATTCAGTATTTGATTCATATTTAACATATACTTGGTTTGATAAGCTCTGCATGTTTGAATTTGAATTTATTACACTTTCTCATGGACTCATGTTGAATACAGTATTCGTACTTCATGAACAGAAATTTCATTAATAGCTTATATCTTAATGATTGCTGTTTTTCTTCTTTTTCTGTTATTTCATTCCTCTGCTATGTTTACTTCCTGTAAGTCATCTTCCAAATCTCATAGTTCTATCCTCTCCCCTTCCTTTTATTCTCCTTATAGTTACAGACAGTATGGAAAATCAATAGGACAAACAGTTTAGGCAAATTTAGCAGTGCCTGAAGAGAAGGCTTTATAGTGATTTGGTCTGATGATTACCATGGGCTACTCATAGGTGGCCCAAAGAGCCAGTTTCCTAAATGATCTCTGTCCATATTATTGCAACATTCTTATCTCACTTTGTGGTAATAGTGTATCCTCTGTAGACTTCAGAAGTAGATAATGGCTATTGTTCTGACATTCTAAACAGCTATCGAATAAGCTGATACTCTGATTATGTTTTTCAGACCTCAGATATTATGGTGGCAAAGCACAGTGGTCACAAGGCAAGAGACAAAATTCATACAAAAGTACTTAATTGGGAGAGGGAAGCACAGACAAATGCACAGGCAGGAAGGAAGAGTGATGTGGTAAAAGACAATGTAGATGAAGGCTCTCAGGCCACATTTTTCTTGAAGTAGATCAGAACAGTTACTGTCCCCCTGGAGTTCTTGTGCAGTCTTTTCTTTCCGGTTTCTGTACATCAGCATACAAGAGTGGTATTAACTAATGAAGCTGAGGTAGATCAATCCTCACTGTTTCTGTTTAGTTAAAAATAAATGGAACATACAATACGCAAATGACAAAGGAACTTGGGGAAAGTAACCGTATAATATTTTTTTAAATATGTTCTAAGATGATAATGCTGAAAGGAACTTCATGTAAAATAGTTTTTAATAGTTTTTCTATAGAGAGAATAAAAATAGGAATAAGATGGTAGATTTGAAGAATGTTCTGTTGTTCACAGGTCAGAGGTTGGAGGAAATTGAGTAGTGGATCCCTGAAGATCAGCAAGTTTTGTTCTGTGACAAAGAAAGAAAAGCATAAAAAGAAAAATGTATTTGATACATCTTCTTGCAAGTGTGATAGTTCTTCTAATAAAAACTTCTTGGCCTGTTTGTCCTGTGTTTCATGATGGCTTCTTTAGGAAATAGCAGAATTTATTTTTCTCATTAGTCTTTTGAATCTTAGTTTATAGGTCAGAAGCTGTACTTTTCAAAACTTGAGGATAAAGACTCAGAACTGCCGTCTGTGGGATTGTTAGCAATAAGTTTGTCCTTGTCTGTACAATCTCTCATTCTCTCATTCAGTTTGATTTAATATATTTTGATTTATATCATGCAGTGTTGACGACTAGCACTCTCTTTGCCTATATCTTGCATGTTTGTCATTAGGGTAACACAAAATTTTAAGTATTGTTCATCTGAAGCTGTACATCAGAATCCTGAGTATTTGTAGCTGTATCTTGTTCTTGCAATCCATTGGACAGCCTCTTTGTAGGTTTGAAAGTGCAGCAAGCTTAAGCAGCGTCTGTGTTTCTAGTCAGTTGGTTATAGAGCTTCTTTGTTTTCTATCCAATTTACAAAGCAAGCAGGTAAAGGGGTAAAATGCATAAGGTTATTAAGTCTTGGTTTCCTTTTGGCTTAGAAAAATGTCTCTAGTATCAAAGATGTGCCATGCTGGTCAGTGAACACTGTGAAAATCATAGGCTTTTTTTTTCTGTCCTACTTTGAATCTTTGGTAAACTTTATCTATATTCTATTCTTAAATATTTCCTTTCCTTCAGTTTCTCTTATATAGTGCTACTTTGTACTAATGATCAAGTTCTATGTTCATTTTTACGTAGCTGCATTTCAGTCATGAATGGAATTGCCTTTTGTTTGCTTATTTTGACGTTTTAGTTAATGTTTAAACTCTCAAATCCTTGCAGAAAAAAGCACTGTTATAGGTAGCTCTGGATTATGTTCACACCCTAAGTAAGCTCTGTACAAGAGGAAGTGTTTGCTCTCATTCTGTGTGAAACCTCTGGTTTGGTTTCACTGCGTTAGAAATACACTCATAGGTTTTGTTTCAGAAGTCTAAAGCTTTTTGATGTGTTCAGTTATATTTTTCATAAGTGTTATAATTGTCCTTAAAACAAAGTTAATTATGTTTATAGTGCACATTTCACGTTCCTTCTATCACAGTGCTGAGTCTTGCAGTTTCAAATAGTTCAGCTGTCATTTTTGCAGGTGACAGGCACTTGCAAGTTATGTCATGTTAATATTCAGTATCTCAAAACTTTTCCTCTTATGTATCCATTAATTATGCAGTGGTAACAGTCATTTAAAGAGCATCAGTCCTCTTTCCAAGTCCTACAACGTTAATACTAAGGGATCTTCTGTTTGCTCATATCCAAGTGCTCTGATATGACCATGCTGAAGTATCATTCAGGCCTAACAGTGTGGAGTTGTGCTGATACAGATTTATTACTTCTAATAAATCTTCTTAATAGAACTTCTGGCACTGATTCCTGTACCATGCTGTGTTTGCAGCATTAAAAAAAAAAAAAAGAGCATCTAATTGCTCTGAGTTCCTTACTTGTAGTGTCAGCTGGGGTGTTATTTGAATAGGATGTGAGACAGCATACTCCTCCCTCTGTATCCAGCTTGTGCTTGTCCACTTCTGAGGAAGGCTGAGGCACAGGCCTGCCTACTCTCTCCCTTGTGTTCTTTACCTTTTTTTTTTTTTCTTTTCTCTACCTGGATTATAGTAGGATATTGGAAGCCTGACCCCTTTTCCCATTCTATATCTGAACCCAGGATTTAGGTAGGTCTTGCAAAGTTCCTGAGATGTGGGCAGGATAGTGAAGCTTTATTTCACTTTTTTTTTTTTTTTTTTTTTTTTTTTTTTTGGCCCTGTGGGACTATAGCAATATCTATGTTGGTGATCAACAGTTGGTTTCCAAGGCTCTGGTAAGTTTCCAGGAGACCCATGTTGTCCATTATACCATGCCAGCAGTAATGAGTTCTGGAAGTGAAACTTAACAATATAGGCATGGTTTTGCTGGTGTGTACTCTAGCTGAGAATGAAACTGTGTACGAGGAAACGTGAATTTGTGTTGGCAGTTGCAAATTTTGATATCCCTGTAGATTAACAAGAATTAATCTTTAAGGCAGTGAGAAACTATGTTAAATGCATGAGTTATGTGGGAAGCAATACTGCAGGTGAATGTTTCACGTATTAGGTTTCATGGGGATAGTTTCTTTAATACTTATTTGCAAGCATCTATATTAAGATTGTGTTTTTCTTTGAATTTTTAGTTTTGAACGTGCCATCAGTGCAAGTAAAGAGATTAAGTACAAAAAATCGTCTGGAATCTGCAGTTTGTAAGGAGCCAGCAGATGGGGATCTTGTTACGTTTTACTTGCCTCACTACTTCAGAACATGTATTAAGAAAGCTGTGTCCAGAAGCGTGTGATATATTTAGTTTGATGGAAATTTTATGTTCCAACCATGACTTAATTCTTACAGATGGGCTAAAACATTTTCTCAAGGCAAAACAGATATACCAGTGAGAAATGCTTATGAATAACTTCTTCATGTTTGTTTATTTGAGATTCTCTCCTCTAAAAGAAGCAGACAAATGGAGAAGCTTTGTTCAGTTATTTTTATCTTACAGTATACATGCTATGTGTGAAGATTTTGCCTTTTTACATAAGAAGCTGCTTATCTGGCTAAATAAAAAGTACGTATGCTCTGCTTCCAAGTCAGATTTGTCTAAGACCAAGCAAGCAGGTGCTAGAAAGCTGCATCTTTAACTTGAAACTTGAGAGAAAAGGTTTTAGTAATGTATGGTGAGGTTTGGACAAAAATCTGACCCCCTTCTGACTGTAGGAAAATTCTACTGTATGTTTGTAGTGTTACAGATTATGCCTCAAAAACATTGTTAAAGGTTAGTGTGTGGCTGTGCTATACTGGGAAAAACCAGTGAGTTTCCCTTACTTTGTTCCTAGTAGGAAATTATTTACTAATCTCTTTTATTAGCAGCAAATTGCTTCCTTCTCCCATGCTAGTTCAGTTTTTGTTGAGGCAGGTCACAGAGCTAGCGTCAGGCCTGACCGTTCTTCACTCACCTGCTGTGGAAGGAAAAATAAATAATCTTACATAACATCTTGTGCTTTCTGGAGGCTGACTCAATAGCAGAAAGCGAAAGGGAGTGAATGGGTGGTATACATTTGGAATGAGTGGAGTTGCAGTCCATCCTTAGTGGTCTTTGCAGAGCTTGTTTATAGAGAGAAAGTGACTTCCTTTCAGTTCCTTTTCAAACTAGCAAGTGCAGAACTAAGACTATATCTAATTTTCTTCATTCCTTTTTTCAGTTGAAAAATATTACATGTAGCTTGTTGTCTGGTTTGGATATTTATCGATAGTCCTTAATCTCTCAGTGATCAGAGCATTTTTCTTTCTTGTTTTAAATGAATGAAACGTTAATTGCTTGGTAACCTGAATGTTGTTTGGAAAAGTCCATTGATAAAAGTGCAGACTTGCAGTGAAAGACAACAAATCTTTACACAAAATCATCTTACTAGCAGGTAAAATTAAATTCTGGTAAGATGTGTGATTTAGAATGCTAGAGAAAGTCATTGTATTACTATGCTTCTTTTCAGCTTTTTTACCTCTTCTCTAACTAAACTTACCTGTTTTACTGCTCGTAATAGTTACTTTGCATCCATATATGTTGCTCGTATTTACTGCTGCTAGAAGGGAAGATATGCTTCCAGTTGTTATATTTCACAATTCCCTGCTGTTTTGATGAAAGCTGGGCTGGTGTGCTTCATGAGAAGTTTGTGCATGTCTTCCTAGAAGTGACTAGTTTATATTGTACATCCAACGGTTGTCTTTCACTTCATAAACACTTAATTCATCTCAGTGTCTTTTGGCATATCTTATAGTCTAATTTTCTGCTGGATGGAAAGAATGAAAGGCATTTTAATGGTCTGACTTGATTTTAATACTATGTAGCTAGTCACAGGAAGGTGGATTGACTTAACAGGAGTCTTTAATTACTTTATTACACATGGAATTGACACCCGAGTATATGCTGAAGGGTGTTCTGCTACTGTTTTGGATCCTTTGCTGTATCAACCTATTTAACAAACTTTTACAGTTATTGTGTTGTTTTTGTTGTTCTGTGCTGCTGTTCTCTTTCATTGTTCTGTAACTGGGAGGTATCTTTTGTCCAGGTTCATGAATGACAGTTATCTTCTGCTACGTGAGACCTCTTGTGCAAATGCTTTATATTAATAGCTTTTTCAAAGCATCCTTGTCTCCTTTTTTTCTGTACTGGGCAGAATACTTGTTTATTCTGTACTATATCCTGTATTGCTTGCGGGGCTTTTCTTACTGTCCCTCCCATGTATATCGCTATAGTCCCTAAAAGAGAGCTGAAATGAGGTGCAACTACGGTAATATATATGACTTGTTTCTTTCACATGTTACTCTTCATCCTGGCCTTTCAAGTCATTGCTTTTCTGTTGAGCTGTTTGTGTGGTTCTTGTCCTTGTCTTCAGGTTTGTATGTTACATGAAGATATACCTTGATCTAACCTCCTTTTTAGTAGTTCCCAGACTAGTCTCCCCTGTGGTGCGGACAACCAACATCATCATTCCTTTTCCGTTCTCTGAGTTGTCAGACAGCATCCTATGCTGTCTCATGTGCTTAGGAATTTTGTCTTAAAAACATGTTCTCCTAAATCAGCCCTCTTGGTGAACTTAGGTTTATTCTAAAATCTGTTGAGAGGTGTTGGGTAATGTAGTGACTGAGAAATGCAAAAACCACCTCTTAATATACCATATATATATATATATGTATATACTATTTTTGACCTTTACATATGGATAATCACCTACTGTTGTAGAAAGGATCTTATTAAGGGTAAGCTCTGTTGTGTTCCACAAGTGTTAAAAATTATTTTCTTTCTGCTTACTCTTGTTATAACAACAGGGAGAGATTCACGTTCAATGGGAAGCCAACATTAAGGTCACAGTCTACAAGCCCTCCTCACCGGACAGATGAAGATAACCTAGCTGCATCACTGTCTGTAAGATGCTTCTCCTTGTAATAAAACCTGTTGTAGTTTCAATGAGTTCTTTTTATATGTTCCTGTAAAGCTTTTATTTCCAATTGCATGAGTCATGATCCCTGTGTACAGATGGAGATATTTAGGATATTTAGTTACATGGACTAAACCTCATCAGAATCTGCCCTCTGTGCATAGGAAAAAGTTTCTGGTAGGATACTTGCAGCTCATCCTAAAGGTTGAGCTGTGTTTAGTATAATGTATTTCATGTTAGATGTGTTGTTACCCACAGGATTTGCAAATTGGCTGTATTGACATCATCTTGTATTTGCAGTAATAGATTTTTAAAAAAATCTGCATAGATGGATTTGTTTCTCTAATGATAGCTGACCTTTGAGTGAATTTTGGACAGCTTGTTTTATCAAACTCTCAACAACTAGCATTATAGCTGATTAAAAGACAGTAGTCAGACTTCAAGTAAAACTCTTCTAGTCTGGACTATTTAATGGTGTTGTATGACAGCAAGCATTTAAAACTAAAAATTACTTCTGAAAAATTAAAGCTATCAAAACATATGATGTTGCTGTTCTGTTTTATATATGTGTTTTGTAGCCTTTTAAAATCCAGTGTTCATTACCTCAGAGAAGTCTATCTCCTCTAGTTTCTTCATTGGAGTCAGTGCATCAATTATAGGTCCCACACCTCCATGAAATATTTTTATTTGATGTATGTATATTCTAGATCTGTCCACCTTTATTTCTTGATTGTATTAGAGGAACAGCTTAGAACAATTGCAGCTGGGAGTGGGCTATTGACTTGTTAGCAATTCATATAGACTGTTCTTACTTTTCTTTACTGGGCACAACTAAGAACTCTGGAGGAAGTGAACGGCAAGTAGGTCAAACTGGAAGCTTGTATGGCTCTCCCATCAGCTGCCAAAGACAGTTAAGCATGGCTCATTTCTAGAGTGTGTTCCCTGAAGAATGGAGTTTTGTCTTATTTATTTTTGTGAACACACCCTGTGTAGAGGAGGCCATTGCTTTGGAATTAGTAAGTAAAATAAAGAACTGTATTAAAGTGAGGCGGGAGGGTGATTCATCCTCCTCTGAACTCCTTTCTAGCACAGTATGCTACTGGTAACTGAGCTATTTAGATTAAAGCTGTGACAAGTACCATGACACAGTTAGGAAGAGTAGAGTAGGCATTGCCAAATTTAATGAAAAGCTTTTATTTGCACTATGCCTCTCTCAGCTCTTCTGATATTTCGTTTGACTTTTTGTGTTTCAGGACCATCATAAAAAAAACACTGCTTTGGATGAGAGTGACCTCGAAGCACGTCTCAATAGTTGGAATCTCGGGGTAAAATAAGAAGTGCATTACTTACTTATTGGCTTGAAATTTCGGCTATATTACTAAAGAGTTTTCATCACTGAATTTAGTCATCAAAATTTTGTGTAGGAGTCAGTCTTCCAGAAATGAAATTATAAAGCTTGAAAAGGCTAATAATGAATATATGTAGTATGAACAGGAAAAAAGCGTTCACATGTCTTATTTCTAATAAATGATTTTAATATATTTACTGATAAGTCAATGAAAATAATACCTGATGGTCAAAACCAGATGCCATACTCTGGTAGAAACAAAGACTGTTTCTAGCAAACTTGAAAACATTACTTTGAATTTAAGTTAGTATAAATAAGAGCTTGGCTTTCTGTGTGTGTGTTATTTTTTTGTTTTTATTTTTTTTTAAATATAGAAATATAAAATTTTTAACCGAAAATGTTGAGTTGTATTGATGGCTTAGGCTTTGCCTTCTGTTGGCAAGGTTCAAGAGGCTTTTCAGTGCGTTAATCTCTTTTCTTCCCTTTTAATAACTAGAATCTTAGTCCAGGCAGTGGGCTGTTCCTGATGGAGAAAATAGGAAAGCTCAAAAATTCCTTGAGTAGGAGTCAGAGGTGTTTGCAGAAAAACTTGATGGAGAAATTAGAGTAATTTAAAAACATGGGGGAACAGAAGTGTGGTTACATTTAGGAATATAATGAGTTTTATTATGGGGAACATGAAATCCTTATGTAGGTCATGTATTTCTAAGGTCACGTACTGAATTTAACATTGCACTATAGTTGCTGCTTGTGGTTCTAATGTGTTTTTACTTTTATGATATGCCTACATCAGTAGCTCAGATATTTTAAATTTTAATTAAAAATAGCGTGAAAAGTTTTGGTAAATTCTGTGCTTTCTCTACTAAGCAGAGAGGTCAAGGCTTAGCAGACTGTATTATGAAGAGTTCAGATATTTGTTGTTAACAGTAATAACTTCTACATGAAAAGTAAAACTTGCATCACTTTGCTAATATTGTTGCTTCTTATGAGCAATAAGATTTTTTTTTGTTTGCCTTGCAGCATTTCTGATTATCTCTATCAAACGTTTTATTGTTCAAGTTCTTTGTATTCTAGGCATTCTTGGTTAAATGTTTTTTTAAAAAAGTTGAGTTTTGATTGTGATTAAATTTGCTTTTCACATAATGAATACTAAAACTAGCTAATTTTAAATACATTATAAAATGTGTTTTTCTTAGCCTTATTGACTCTTATCTAAACCGATGTGGGACTATGAAGCGTTCATGCCTTGAAGTTGCATTTGCAATGTAGAAAAGAAAAAATAGTTTTGTTGTTTGAAGGGAAAAGTGTCAGAGCCAGGAGTTTAGACAAATTCAAGTAATCTTTGGCCATGCTGTTTCTTTGAACTTACTTTGTTATTCTTTAGCTATGTTAGAATATATTTAAAAACTCCTCAACTATCATATTTTATTAACAACTGCCAATAAATTTCTGCATGCTGTTGCAAATATAGTGTACTTCATAAATGGGACATCCTCACCTTCCCTTTAGTTATTTCTTGAGAAGTAACTAAATATCATAAAATATATGTAGTGTCAGGAAAATAAGCTTGCTGAATAAGAGAATTATTTCCTTAGAAACCTGCTTTCTGTTTTCCTCTAGCATTCACTAAACTTGTAGGTTGTACACAAACAATTTTTGGATATAAAATGTAAGTTATGTAGAGGAATAACAATGAATTAGACCCCTGTATATTCTTACCCAACCTACTTAGGTTTTTTCACAATGCTTCTGGTATGGTTTCAGTTGTCATTGTAGTCAATTTCAGGTGTGACAAAGCCAGTCTTTTAAACGTCCCAGGGAATTCAGAACTTCATCTTAGGTGGAAAGCATACAAAGAGATTGTACCCTGGGGAAACAGCAAAGGGGTTTTTAATCAGGGAGAACATTTTTCGTTACTGAAATTCAGCCAGAAGCGAAAATCTGTACATCACTTCTGGTAAAAGGGTTTTACCAATCTTCAGTCCAAAGAATTTGGACACTCAGGTCTTGTACAGAAAGATTAATCATGGCAAACATTATTGCATAATAAAGGTTTAACAGGACTGACGCCAAAGAAATTCTGTGGTCAGTGGCTTGAAATATGTTCTCCTGTTTGGAGAAATTATATATAACACAGGGTTAAAGTAGATGCAAACACAGAGTTCTTGGGTGGCTACAGCAGCAGTGTATGATATGCCTGGTTTGTGTACTTAGTTCACATCTGCCTGTGTCTTTCCAGTCTAGTTAAGCTCAACCATTTTTGTACAAACCATTTGATTATCTTTTGTTTGGTTTCTTAGTCTGTCTGCTTACTATAAACATACCTACTGTATATGTTGTGGTGTTGGAGGGCAGCAACACTGCAAAAACTTTCCCACAGTGAACTCCAAGTGGTGTTGTGACTTCAAAAAATAAATTCAACTTCCATGCTGACAAACAATCTTTATGCGCTTTAATGTCCTTCCACTAAGACTGCAGAAGCAGCATTAAAGTGAACTTCCCTACAAATTATGATGTTAGATAAGAATGTCCTTACTCAAATTTCCTGAAGCTACTCAGCAGTTATTTCTGTAGGGAACATGCTAGCTGGCTGGGTTTGCTAGATTAAAGTAAGAACTTAGGGCAAGGTTCAGTTTAGTTGTTTACCATTTCAAAATCTGAAGTGTTCTTAACTCTTTCATGTGTGTTTTTCCATCCTTGTTTTGAAAACAATCACATTTTATCTTTGAAGGAGCTTAGAGGGGGAATGTACAATAAGCCTGCTGATCTAAATGTTTTTTTCCTGCATCTTAATATATACAACATACCTCCTGACTCCATTGCTGAACAGTAATAAGATACAATTGTGTATTATTGAAGACAAATAGACCTTGATAAACATCTTCTGAAGAACAAAATGTGACTTCGGAAGGGGAAGAATGAAAGCATAACATTACCATAGTCCTTGTTGTGATATTTACTGTGTCAAAAGAGCAGAAGCTCTGGTATACGTTTCTGGACTGTGACTGGTAGAAAGCCTGGATGCCGTTTTCAGCCTCGAGGGTAAAATGTAGTTGACAGCCTGAGGATGAGTTTTGTGGAAGTGCTTAGTGCTCAAACTTAGGCTTTTTTCTGCACTGTCGTTGCTATTATGTGGAACCATTTTAGCTCAATTTACTTTTCCAATGAATGCTTCACTCATGGCTTTCATTGCTTTAAAATAGTATTCTTTAAAAATACATAGTTTTATCTGCTATCTGTTGTTAAAATAATTGGCAATTGAGAATATTGAAGTTAAAAATTATGGTTAACTTATCTCAAATTCAGTTTTGGAATCTCTTTTTATGCTGGATTTCTGCCTTATTTTCATGAATTAAGAGCATATGTTTTCATAAAATAGATTTTTTTTTTCTCCCCTCTTAATGGGAATCTGATTATCTATAGCCCTTCCAACACCAGGATTTACTGGTTTGTGAAGGCTTGAGTACTGGAGGGTGATCATGGCAGTCCTCACAAATTGAAAAATGATTTGTTGTCTAACTGCCCAATAGAACAGGAGAAACAAAAATATTTTCTACAAAGAGATTCAAAATGTCATTTTTTATTAAGAAGTGGTATTTACAAATTAGAGTTCAATTCTAGTTCAAATAAAGATGTCTTTCATGATGACATTTATTTGGTTCATACTCTTAAAAAAGCATGATATGATTTACTGTTCTTCTCATGGCAGCCCTTCAGTTTCATACATATGTATGTTGGTTTGTCTTTGACCTTTTGCTTATTATTTTTAAATTTGCATGTTTCTCATAAATACAAGCTTTTTTTCTTTTTTGGGCATTTTTTATTGTGATATTCCCTCTTTAATGTGGTATAATTTTGAGAACAAGAAGTTTTGCAGAAGACCAGCATGAAAAGAATGAATGTTGAGACATTAAATGTTTACAGATCAGTTTAAGTGGATATAATCCACAACAAGTAACAAAGTGGGAACATTAAACTTCAAAGCACATATGGCTGCTGTTACAAAATCAAAAAATGCAAGACTTAGGCCATACAAAGTATTAGAGACACATTTTCCTTCTTTCTTATATACAAGTAAGATATACCTTAGCTATTTAGACTGTAAACAGCGTAATTTCATGGTCAGATAAAGTATTTGAATTAATCATAAATATTTACAATAATTTCTAGCTTTTGAAAAAGCGAAAGTAAAGGGTGACCTTTTTTTTTTTTTTTTCCCCTCCAATAGAGGACTTTTGAAAAATATCTATGCCTTTGAAATTCAGTTCTGCAGCCTTAGCCTTCTCAGAAGTCCACCTGGTAATGATGAAGGCTTTCAATGTTTGGGATTATCTGCTGCCCGGTTTTCCGGGGAGCAAGGTCAGGGAGCTAACCTTGAGCTTTTGGCAAGCCTTCTTCAATGCTGGGTGTCTGTAGACAATGGTTTGGCTTGCAGGGCAGATGCAATATGAGCTGGAAACCAAGTGAGTTAGAAGGAAGAGCATAATACTACTGCAGTTGGAGAATGTCAGATATGAAATAGTATTGCAGGTACAAATGCGTAGGCTAAAGAAAATCCTAAAGTTTCTGTTTTACAGGTTTTTCGCCTTTGCATTTCCATCTCACCCTTGATTTTTTTCTATTATTATATATGTTCTGTGGACTTGCACTTCATGATGCTCTTACTCCTCTATTTCTCGCCCTCTATTTCTCTCCTCACTAATCTCTTCTAACAATTTTTTTTAGTAGGTGCATGCAGGAGATTCCTTTATTCACTACTGTCTACCCATGTTTTTTGCCATGCCAGTCATAGTGGTATATTAAAAAAAGAAAGAAAAAGCTTCATATGAAAGAAGACCTAATGTATCTGTTTCAGTAAACTCTGACAGTAAAGAAAAACACATTATTAAACTTTCAGTTTCAATGAACAGTATTAATGAATATTTCTGATGATATAGGTGAACATCTATGATAACATGCTAATATTTTCAAGTACTTCTGGGTGAAATATGATGACTCTTAAACAGCATATAGAAATTGTACATTATATTTTAGGACAGGAAATGAATAATACTGTATCAAATTGAAATTTCAGAGGGATTAAGCCTCTTTTTCACTGTAAATTCAACTCACAAATGTATTTAATAGTACTGGAGAAAGTGCAAACGCCTGATATTTGCCATGCCTCATAGATCATTTTAATTTTTTTAGAAAAAAAAAAAAGGCTAAATGTTGTAAGATACGTATTGCAAACACATTCCAAATCTCGCTGCCACATTTTACAAGATTATACCCTTGAAAGCTATTCCTGGGTATTACGCATTCTCTGTGATGTGATGTTTGAGTCCTATCATCTGAGAAAATTAAAAAGATAGAGGAAGTGGGTTGTGAACAATGGTTTGTATTCAGTTCTTAAAAACAGTGATTGAAAGAGCTGCTTTAATTATACAGTACTGTTAATGAATTATTTCCTTATGTTTTGTCTCTATGACTTACATATGTGGATACAGTTTCAATACACTCCTAATTTTCAAAAATGCTAGATTAAAATCATTGTAATCAGTAAATTTTCTATAACTTTACACTAATTTAAATGAAAATTTATTGAATAAAGTGTTTGGCTTTTTTTTTGGTATAAACTACATATGTAGCTACTTAATTCTTTTAAAACATGCTTAGATAGAATTTTTACAACCACAAGAGTTCGGAAAAGTTGAATTTTTAAATGTAATTTTCACCCAAACTGCAGCTGGCTTACCAAAGAAATCAGCGCAGCAAATCCTCCCAAACTGTTTAGTAGACTGTTATCTAAGCGATGTCAAAGTCATTGGTATGTTTCAAAATTCGGATAAATCACTCAAGATCTCAGAACTTCAATTAAAAATTTTGAAATGATTTTGAAATTTGCTATTTTGAGTTGTTTTGAAGTAATTTATGTCAGCCAGGTTTTTCTTATTTTGAAGTTCATGCAATTTTCAGATATTTTCTCTGTAAATGCAATTTGAAATGCGTTTGCATGAGGAAACACTAAAATGTTAAAACTTGCTGTCAAGATTATATCCACAAAATAGTCTTCCATGAAGATTGTCTATTTCTCTAACTCATAAAAAATATTAGTGTGATATTGGACATTTAAATTCTGATCCTTTTCTTAAAATGTGTTGAAATGTTCTGAAAGGAGAAAGAATTATGCACGGGGAAATCGACTTTTTTAACTTCTAGGTTAGTCATGTTACCTTTTGAATCTAGAAACAGCAGAAACATTGCCATGTTTCTGATTTGCATACTAAGTGTGCAAATAGATTTGCAAACTTTCTAGTGGGGAAAAAAAGTTCTTCAACTGGTAGATTCATCCAAAGGCATGCTTAAATATTTTGTTGGTTTTCTATTGAGCAATACCGTGTCTGAGATAAGTGTAGGCTTGCTAAAACAGATTATCTTTCAAACTATGCACTCAAAGTTTTATTGCAAACATTTTTGAATCTTTTCAAGAGATAATAAAAGAGGCAATCTTTTTTTTAGTCTTTTTAAGAAATACGAAGGCAATGCTGATGTGATTGCTTATTCTGTAACTTTGTTTTTCAGCTAGAAAATCCAAGATATTTGCGGGAAAAACCAATGCCAGTGTCTTTGGTAAGTATCTATATTTATATTCCCTTCATATTTTATAAGAACAGGCAAACACGCTTAGTATTTTTTTTCTGTTTAGGAGTGATTTTTACTTGGAGTTATTACTTTGAATTTAGAATCTGCTTTTTCTCATTCAATAGACAACATCCAAAATTGGCCTAGGAAAAAGTAGCAGTTCTCGTGATGAACAGGCACTATTTCAAATGCATGAAAAAGAGGTAAGATGCTTTTTTTTCTGGAAAAAAAAAAAAAAGAGAGAATTACAGCTAAATTAGCTATTTAGGGTATTTTCTTCTCAATTTCTGTATTCATAAAGCAGTTTGTTCTACCAGAAAATCTCATAATAGAATATTTTCCCTGAAGTGACAAGGCTTTTCATTAAATACTTAATGTATTTCCCAATTACTAATGGAATAAAAGAGGCCTTCTGAGCACATGGACTATTCTTTCGAAGGACTTTTTGTGTGTGGAAAAGTGAAATCTAGGAATTCTTTAAACTTAGCTTTTAACAGAAGCAATGGAACCTTTAACTTAACAAGGATTTAGCGTATTTACTTTCTATATACCTCTAAGAATCTGCACATATAAAACTTGTTTTTATTAAAGCCTACATATTTTCTATGTTTGCCTCATCTAGCTCCAGTCCTCCTTTATTCATTTTGCGATTTCTTTTGAACGTTATTTGGCGAGATCAGCATCATAACATGCCTATCTAATTCTCTCATACATTATTTACTTTCAACTTTTAAGATTAAAAAAATAGTTTTGTGATCATTTTTTTTCTGTTTTCATAGTTCAAGGCCTGATAAGTTGTATTCCTATGATTTTTGCCATAAACCAATTTCATTTAGAATACCAGTCATGAGATGGAACTTGAACATGCTATTTTCAGCACATGGGTTCTTCTGAAATCACATAGGCATTACATATTTTTTTTGGAAAGACGGTGAACCAGACATCAGTAAAGCAAATTCAACATGTATTAGGAGGAAAACCAAACCCAAACAACAGTTCATGTTTTTTCTCTCTTCAAATACTTCAATTTTCTGGTTTTAGTCATTTGCTGTGGAAAAGTAAATCATGTGTGTGCAGGGAACAAGCTATCCAAAAGTACTCAAATCTACATAGGACTGCAAATATGCATGAACTGGAAAGGAAGGGACATCGTCTGCAAACCATGAAATCATCCCTCCCTTACGTGGTATTTTGTAAGAACATTTAAGAATTACAATGGTCCTAAAGTTAATTTCAAGGACAATTCAGAAGCATCTTTAACTGAGACACAAGGGAGGCTAAATTTGGTTTGCAGATACTTACATTATTTTATTAACAATGAATATGAAAGTCTGCTTTATGTTGATGGCTGGAAGTCTAATGTGATGCATAAATGAGCAGACATCCACCAGTTGCATGACACATGTATTTCACTTTCTCTGTACTGTTCTAATACTCACTGTTCTTTTGTATCGACAGTCTTCAAACCACCATTGCCTCAGGGTGAGACAAGGCAAGGTTTCATAAGATGTGAAAATAGACTAAATAATAAATTGTAAGCATGATGTTGTCATTTAAATAATATTTTTAAATTAAACAAATTAAAATGCATGCCAAGAAGCAACATAAAGTACTTGGTGAATGGGTTTCTAGTTCTGTGAAAAAATCCTCTAAACCACGCAGTAAAAATCCAGTACTTTTTCCTAATGTTACTCTACAGTGGGGTAGTTTAAACTGGAAAGGCTATAGAAAATTTCACAATCCCATGTGTGCGCTGTTAAGTAGAAAACTTAAATGTGTTTTCATCTTATTTTGTTTGTGAAGCTCAATTAAGAATAAAGTCTTTTCATTTATAGAATGTAAATGTATTAACAGAAGGAGTGCTGTACAAGAGCTTTTGTAAACCTTTAATTGTTTTCAACCTCTTTGTAGTAGAACATAAAATAGGATAACTGTGGTTTTTTGCTTTTAACCTTTAGACCTTTGTTCATAAACCATTCCTGCACCTGTTTTGACTCTGTAATGCTAAACACATGGCCATTTTCAATGATAACCACATCACAGATTTATGAAAATGTGAATATCATCAGGCAGTGGTTTTTAGTCATATTTTCCCCAAATACTTCTGACATGGTTTAATCCATTTGGGAAACTGTCATTACCAAAAAATCCTGGGTTCAAACAGGGAAGATGCAACAAAACAGGAGTATATCAGTTTTCAGCAGTACAGCAAAACAGAACAGATTGTATGAGTGGCTTATCTTGATAAATAGGAAAAGGCCTCCCTTTGAACTTCACCCTTGGTCATCCCGAGTGCTACCCAATACTCCACAGAGCAGACTAGACTCTACAAATGATGTCTAAATGAATCTGAGGCAAGAGTCTTCTCGTATTATTCTTTTTAAATTGAAGGTTGTAAACAATGTTAGTACTTTGTGCAATAACTGTTAGGAAGTTTCATCTGTCTGAGATAACTGAAAACACTGAGTGTTTGCAGTGCTTTTGTTGACTTTATCACTTTATCACTTTGCTGTTTTGATTTTTAGAAAACCAGTGATAAAAGACTGAGCATTGCAGTGCCCATGCTTTTCCAGTCTTGTGTATCTTGAAGCAATCTGGCAGAAATGGTTGTCTTTTCTACAGTCAGCTGAGTAGATGTTGTAGCCCAACTGAAGGAAGGAGGGAAGGCAGGGGTTGAATTTTCAAGAGAATATGGAATACTTGCAGGATAATTTCCACCCATTTGTCACGTGAAATGAGGACTGATGGAGAAAGCAGGAGCCCAGAGAAAAGGAGAGATGATATGAGTATTGAAAGATACCTTAAAGTATAGAGAATAGGGGGGAAAAGGTCTTTTTTTTCCCCTGAACTCACTTTAATGGATTGAGACTGGATGAAAGATGAAAAAGGAGAAAGTCTTTTTTGTTTGTTTTCAAAAATGTTTAAAATATAGATTTAGAACTTCTGTCTTTATAATCTTGATTTGTTTCTATTCTTTTTTGTGAATAGCCCTGCAATGATATGAGTTTTGTTTGTAAAGATCATTGAACCATGAATATAGCTTTGCACTGAAAGTGTTGGGATCTAGTCATTTATTTACATTAAGATAAAACCAGCATGCTGCAGTGACAATGTTATGGTTAAGTGTTGGTCTGGCTAAAAATGACCTGAATTTAAGGTGTTGAAAGCAGATATTCTTTGCTTCTCGCTTAACCAGCAGGAAATTATAGCTTGATGTGGAGATAATTACACAAGGGCTGTGGTCTAGATGTTCACCAAAAGGGAATGTACGTAGGATGCAGTGGAAAGAAGGCAGAGAGGAAAGTAAGTTGTTGAATGTCCATGAATAAGACATTTAATGCATGCTAGGTTAATTAGAAGCAATAAACAAACTTATATGGAGACAGTATTCTTAAAGAAAGATGCTTGTAATTAAATTAAGCTTTTACCAATTTAACATTACTGTGTTTTGAGCTAAATCACTGATTTGATACTTTTTTCCTCATTGAAAAGAGATATTTTGTCCATGTTTTCTGAGAATGGTAATAAAATCTATCAGTATTGCTCTCTTGTACATTATAACTGAAACAAAAGCGGATGTGTCCTCATGTGTACATATGTCTTCCTAGAGTTTAAATGTACACAGTGGATGGATATAAATATGTCTAGATGTGGAGCTGAGAAGGCTGAAGGAGCTTATAGGCTGAAGGAGCCTATTTAGGCATGTCCTGCGGCTGGTGACCCTGCTTATTCTTTAAGCTCAGAGGTATTTACTAGTAATAGCAGGAGAGAGAATGTTCTTGACTTTCTAAATACGTTTTAGTTGCAAAGGTACTTAGGTGGGCCTAAAACTTGAAACTTACAGTAACTGCAGCTTCATGCAGTTCCAGGGTCAGTTTGGAGCTTCTTGTGTTGCAATAATCTTTCTGATCCCTGTTCTGTATTCCCACTTACTCTAATTTACTGTTCATCTTCTTTTGTCTCCCTGTTCATCCAAAACTGTCCAAGTCATACTGCTGTTGTTAAACTTCCTGCTGTTTTTGACCTGGTAGAAGTTAATTTTTTTTTTTTCTTACATTTTAACAAGGACATCCACCAGAATGTATGCTGAGTTCTGTTTTCTCAAATGTGGTTCATAAGAAGAGGCAAAAAAAAAAATAAATAAAAAAAAAAAATCCAAAAAGGCAGAAAAGACATAATTATTCCTTCTTGATTTTTACTTTTCCATAACTTTTTTGTATGACAGCTTGGTTCTGAAAATACTTTCATTTCCCTTTAAAAAATTATATATATTACAATATGATATATTGCAAACAGTAAGTATTATGACTTTGAATATTCTCTTGTTCATTTGAATTTTCTTCTTTATGCACTAACCTGAAGTCTATATTGAATGAAGTGTCTAATCTATTTTGAGAATTCAGTTGTAAACTGACTTTCACCCCCCTAGTTGTCATTCTGAACACAGATCTATTAGTTTAAAAACGCAACAATCTTGACTTGTTAACATGGTTCCTGACTGAATGTCCCATTCCCAAGAACATGTGCAAGTTGTCCATTGTCTTCCGTATGAGGAAATCGCATCCTTTCTGCTTTGATAACACTTCAGAATGTAGTGTAATAAAATCCAAACCTTATTTTATTGCTAGACTGGTGTGAGACATACAGTGTGTATCAGGATGAGACATGTTTTCATAAACTGACTTGGGATTTATAATTCCTGATACTAATTGGGCTGGTCATGGGGATATATATGGACATGTATATTTATTTATTTTTTGCAATAGTTTGTGAACTATGTCTTTAATTATTGCACATATGTGCTGGAGACATTGAGAAAGATCAAAGAGGTAGGTTAGCAATTCAAACAAGCATTTTAACCAGTAAAATGTCCAGATGGTTGCCAAGCAGCTGGGAATTAATCTTTTGCTGCATGATTAATCTCTACCTCAGTGTCTCATTTTTTTGTCTTTTTAAGTCGGATTTTTACACGTATAGATCCTGGTATTTATGGCAGAAAATGCATTGAGTACAAAAAGTAGGTACCATACACTGTCATTGCCACATGTTGCAACTGTGAAATAAAGGCAGAAGTGTGCTTTTAATGACTGCTTTAGGAGATCCTGAGGTGAGCACAAAATTCACTAGCTGGTGAAATATATAAACAAATATGAAATAACAGTGGGAAAGTTCTGTTGTTTGAGTGTATATAGAATGATTTCTT